ATATAGTTTTTTACAATAGAATTATTTTGTCTCCATTAATTTTATCAAAAATATAGATTTCAAGATTAATTTAAAAACTATAAAACGTGTCCTAAGAATAATATAGTTTTTTACAATAGAATTATTTTGTCTCCATTAATTTTATCAAAAATATAGATTTCAAGATTAATTTAAAAACTATAAAACGTGTCCTAAGAATAATATAGTTTTTTACAATAGAATTATTTTGTCTCCATTAATTTTATCAAAAATATAGATTTCAAGATTAATTTAAAAACTATAAAACGTGTCCTAAGAATAAAAAATGATAAAATTTGTGTTTGTTCAATATTCAATATTTTTTTTTTGTGAATGTCAACTAATCTGGTCGATAAAAATTTTAAATTTTACCATCAAATGTGTAAAATTGGTACTAATCATTTCCAACAAATGAGTAAACACTTCAATTCAATTCGTATACCATCTCCACTTATTAGAAAAGCCATCATTCTTAGGTAAAGTAAGAGGACTATTACTTACGAATACCACAGCTTTGATATTGTCTGCGGTGAGAGAAATATCCAACTCCCCATGATTCTGAAGTCTGAGCAGAACATCAACTATATCTTCGCCGATCCCATCTCCCCTCAGATTCTTTGCTCGATGCTCCTCAAATATCTCCTCCAAGATCTCATCCAAATGCCGATGCACTCTCTCCAACCGAGCCCTCAACCCCATCAGATCACCAAGAAACCCTAACGATGGGTAAAAATCCACAATACTGAATCCCGACAAGAGCTTGAACGCCTCTTTCATCGCAATTAAAAACTTCTTCTGTTGCGTGCACTCCTTCCCGAATGCCGCCCTGGAAACGGTAGAGTATGTCAAAGATAAAAACATCTCTGTAAGATTCACAGGCAATCCCCCGACCATGCGGATCTTATCAACAAGATTATCTCCTTCTTCCTTTCTTATGAAGCCGAAGGACTCAACACGCTTGGTGCTAAGTAATTCAACTGTGCAGATCTTGCGCAGTTGCGACCAATATTTGCCGTATGGAGAAAAGCCAATGTCGGAGCTGTTATAGCAGAGGATTTTGGTGGCGAGGAATTCCGGTCGTGAAGCGAAATTGATGTCGTGGGTTTTCATGACCTTGCTAGCGAGTTCTGAGGATGTGATGATTATTTGATTTATTTCTCCGAGTTGGAGGAGAAGCAAAGGGCCGTATTTGTTGGAAAGGTCTCGAAGCTTTCGATGTGGATGGCCACCGAGAAGGTGGTGAATGTTTCCTATGATGGGGAGCTTCCATGGGCTTGGTGGAAGGTGAATAGTAATGGAGGTTTTGGGGGTTCTAAGCTTCTTTAAAAGAAGAATGAGGATGATGCAGAAGATTAGTGGTAGGATGTTGGAGAAGGTTGGCGGCTCCATTGTTTGCAATGAATTAGGGAAAAATGCTGAGCAGGGAGTGAAATGTTTGGAGACGCGGGGGTACATTTATATAAACATAAAATATGTTTGAATTTTCTTTTTGTTTAGGAATAATGAGGGAGAAATTATAATTTATGATCTTAATTCGTGACTTTTAAATAATTGCAGAAACTACTTCAAAAAAATTAAAAGAGAAACACAGTTAGAATTGGATTGACGACACATCTTTATTCAAATTTCATGATAATTAATTTTATTTTAAAAAAATGCTTAATATTAAATTTAATTGATTAATTTATAATATAATTATTTTAAATATGCTTAATGATCCTAAAATTAACATTAATCATATTTATTATAAAAAGTTTTACATTTTAAAGTTTTCCATTGAGATTTTTCATGTCTTCTTTATTTTTTATTTTATATGAAATTTGATGTAGACAAGCTATCCTTCATGATAGCTTCACTAGGCGCCACAAAAAAAGGCACACAGATGCATAAACTGCTTCTCATATAAATTTTCAAAGAAAAATATACATTTTAATGAAAATAAAATCATTTTAAATTTTACATTTTTACCTTAAAATATAAGACATTCTTTTGCGGCGAAATTTTTAAAAGGAGCAAAGTTGATAAATATTTTAGGAGTAGGAGCATGAAAATAATAAAATTTAAAAAGGAGCAGAAATGCAAACATGAATCACGTTTTCCATACAAAACGCAAGGCAAGACTGCGTTTTGTAAGAAAATGCAAAGGTCCATTCCATTTTCTTATAAGACATTCTTTTGCGGCGAAATTTTTAAAAGGAGCAAAGTTGATAAATATTTTAGGAGTAGGAGCATGAAAATAATAAAATTTAAAAAGGAGCAGAAATGCAAACATGAATCACGTTTTCCATACAAAACGCAAGGCAAGACTGCGTTTTGTAAAAAAATGCAAAGGTCCATTCTGTTTTCTTCATAACAGAAGAGGGATTAAATACTATTGATTATTATAATTTATCTTTACTTCATTAAAAGTATAATAATCATTTCTTTTTGCTGCATAAGAACTATAAGCCTCACATGAGGCATGAGCTTGCTGAACGAATATATTAAATGTGAGACTTTGGCTTCTTTGGAGATTTGAGACGTTGAATATATAAAAATAGTATTTGATTTAGTGTAGAAAAATATAATTACTAAAAGTATGCGTTATAAGTAAAAGTTAATATTTAAAAATTATATAAATTTATAAAATATAGTTTCTACTTTTCTTAAAATATCTTATGTATCAACTATGTCTCCCTCATTCACTCACTCTATCTCCCTCTCTTAATCTCTCGCTATCTCATATATTTAATGCAACAATTTGGGGGTCTTAATTGTAAGTTTTTAGAGCTTTGTGGTCATTTATATTAGTCCTTCAATAATTATTTTAGATTGGACCACCTCTAACTTTTTATCCCTCTCTTACTATTATATAAGATTATTATTTATAAATTTAATATTTAAGTTTAATATATAACTTTAATATTTATTATTATTAAATATTACATTATTATTTATTTACAAAATAAACTATAAAACTATAATTATATTATTGTAATAATAAATTATTTACAAATTGAACTTATATTTTATATAAATTTCTTATACATAATGATTCAATATGCTGTTATTTATTACTTAATATTGTATTATCTACTTATTTAAATAATTTACTTTAAATAATTACTAAATTAATATATTCATTAATTATTAATTTATTACTTAATTTATTAATATATATAATAAATAGTTGTCCTCTCTATTTTAAATAGTTTTGAAGATCAATGAAAAAATAGCTCAAAAATAAGAATATCAATATATTTGTTCTCTGTTTTTATTATTCTCGACAATTTTGTTTATAATTGATTTTCACTATCGAATATTTTATTCTTTCTATTTTTTAAATTATTATTCATCCCCCTACACCAAATTCATATAATATCTCTTGAATTTTATATAATATAAAATTAACTTGAAATATTTTTGGTAACTGTCTCTATAATCTTTTCCCTCATAAATATAACTCGTACTATCTAGATATATTATTGATCATTCTATATCAAATTACCAAAATTTTTAGGTCAAATATCTTAGTTATTTCTCAAATAACGTTATTTAATTAATTTCAAAAACTTTTTATAAACATTAACTGTATATTCTTAATTTTTCTTATATTCGTAAATTTTGGCAATTAACTTATGCTTTTTATATTAAATTTCTTATACTTAATGAATTCATAGCTTTTAATATACTTAATCTGTGTAATTATCTTATATATTTAAATTAATAACTAATTGATATATTTATTAATTATTATTTATAATGATTACTATAATTTCATAAATGGAAACTAATTAAAGTTAATAAAATATGCTCATTAAATCTCTACCATTAATACATTATATTAAAATATACTATATACATATATGAGTATTAATTAGCTAATAAACTTTCTCTCTCACTTCTCCAACCACTTACTTATTTTCTCTATTTTCATCTCACCCATGAACAATTGTATCTATTAACTCTTCTCGCTCTTTACTCTTCTTCTTCCTCTCTACCTCTCAACTTTAAATAAAATAAATTTAGATAAAAAAAATCTTATGAAGAATTAGATTTATGTTTTAATTTAATTGATTTATTTTAATAATTATGTAAGTTAATATGCTCTTATTTATTAGCAAAAATAATATTTTCTCTTAAAATATAAGTTATACTTACTTAATTTAATCATTGATTTTAAGTATTAATTTTTCTTATTACATTAACTTAAATATTTATGGATGATATATTGCTTATTCTTACCCATTTATTTATTATAAATATTTTTTAAGTTAATTATATTTTAAGTTAAGTAAATATTTAAATATATATATATGAATATCTCCATATAAAAACATAATCATTAAATTTTATTCAAAATGTTAATTACATACTCAACATTTTTTTATTATGTTAAACATGATTTTTTGGTTTGTAAATTATATTTTCTATCATATTTTAATTTCATATACTTTATTTAAATTATTTGTTTTAATAATAACATATTAATATAAATCCAATATTATATTTTTAATATACTCTCTATCTCCTTTCTTAATTCTTTTACTCCAAATCTC